AAAAATGAATTTCTAAAAAAAAAAAAGGGAAAAAACACCACAAAAAAAAAAAAAAAAAAAAAAAAAAAAAAAAAACTTGATCAAATAACTACCACAGAAGTGTAGGCATGGACCGGTACCAATGTCATTGTATACCTTGGATTTCAAAAGTTAGTTTTAAAATTGTTAAAATGTCTCCAGTGTATTACCCCTATGATTTTAAAAGACGCCAAATATTGTCCTGAAGGGAAGAAAATCTTTTCAGGTTAATGGAGTCAATGATAAGTGTACCTATCCCACTTTTGCTGAGACAAATTCTGTTGGAATTATTTCTGGTCATGAAAAACAGACAAGGATGGAGTAATAACCAAAGTAACACACCTATCATCCTTAACAAAGGACACTTTGCACTTCTCTTCAATGCTCTGTATATTTTTTGCTTTACAACATAATTCTGACACATGTTGAGTAGTTCCAGTACTGGTTTTGTTCTAAAAGGAACAGAAATATGAAACAGATATTGAAGATATCTGCATAAGATTGCCAAAACAAGGGTGGACAGAGAGGTGAATGTAGACCCACAGGATAATAGTCTACATGGCAATTATCATAGTGAGGAGTCAGTATTATAGTAAATAATATATGGTATTATAGCAGCTGTAATTCATTGAGGATTTCTGCAAAGATTTGTCAGGTGGTGAGCAGAATATTAAAGGCCACATCTCACCACCACACAGTCCATACAATGCTTTATTTATAGTTTAGCTTGAAATAATTGACATAAACCAGATGTTGCACAAGTTCCGAAATATATATTTTTAAATAACACAGATTATGAAATTGCAAAAATATTTGCCTAAGATCACAAACAGAGCCACACAGCAAGGGAACGACGACCCGGTGGTGAACACAGCAGCAAAATGGGTTCTTGTTAAAGACAAAATGAGGAGAATTTCAGTCAGAATATGGCCAGGATTTAAACAGAGGTAGACAGATGAGCATCAATACTCCTGTCAGGACACATTAAAGGTGTGTAGTGGTACATGTATGGACCACAACAACAAGAAGACTGGACTGACTCCTGTAAACTTTTAATCTTGAAAACTATGTGAAACATTCAAGTGTTTTTTTTTTTGTTTGTTTGTGATAGCTCTAAGGGTTAGAGCTGCATTTTAATTTGAAGATATTTTTTTTTCTCCATGTAATCAAATTAATTCACTCAGAACAGTGATGACATTTATCACAAGCTCCTAAACGCTGCCCTTCAAGAGAAGACGTTTATCAAGAAAGGGCAGAGAATGACTATTCTCCACTTTACCGAAAAATAAAACTAAATGACAAAATTGTGAAGTCATTTACCGGATGTTTTCTTGCAGAGAAGGTGCATTTAGTGACGTGCAGCTAATGGGACAGAACAATCCACGCACTGTTTGTCCTGAACTTGTGGCTTCGTGTCAACTCAACCTATGGGGCTTAATGTGACTCACTTGTTGTGAGGATAACTTGGTTGCCATCATAAATATGCTGTCAGTAGGTGCATCTGTACAAAATCGATTTGTAGTGCCTCTTAGAGCTAAAGCTAGAACTGGTGCTGGAAGCATTATGAGACATGACGATTAAATTTAATGCATTTTTATTCTGTACTTTTTTCAGCTGTATCTTTTAAATGTGAATTAACAAATAATGAACAGCAGAGGATCAATTACTGTATAATAATCTGCTACATGATTTTGACATTCATCGGAATAACTGTTGCTTTTCTGGCTTACATGAAAATAATTCGACTCGGACTTGTCAGGAGTCACAGATCAGTGACATGATCTAACATTCCAATACTTTTTTAAGTACCGTGATGCATGAGGTTATCATACAGCATTCTTTCACAATGTCACACCAGCCCATGCCTACAAACACATCATTTTTCTAATAAATTGATAAATAAATACTCTCTTCCAAGAAACTGACATTCCTTGTAACATTTTGCACCAACATCCTGGCTCCTTCCTACAGAGAAGGGCTTTTTGTTGCCCAGCAGTAGGTGTTCGTTTTGACTGTCACTTGGCTGGTGGGGAGGCAACATTTTTTTCCACAAATAACCACAGAATGTTTTTTGACTAATCTTCTAAAACAATCATAGATAGCTAAATTATATTATTTATGCAAAACTAGAACTTTTAATTGCGACTGAAAAATGTTAGCAATTTAACTTAATGACAATTTTTTTTTAATCACATATCTAAAAAGAAGATAAATAAAACTAAACACACAAATTTACAAAATAATTAAAAAACAAATGTCAAAAAGTAACTAAGTGGAGTAGTGCAAAGTGGTGGTACCTGTATCACAGTTAGTACTACCAGTGGGTGTTATGGGGTTAACGGTAAACGGTAAAACACCCAGTCCAGAGCCTGGGAGCATCGTCAGGACCGCAGCCGTCCGGTTCAAATGGCGTCAGGAGAACACAAGTTATGACTTATTCAAAGAAAAGCAGTTGCATGTCACACACAAACACACTGTGGAGCAAATCAGTCACCGCATGCACAAAAATGTTTTCCTTTTCGGGGAGTAACTCGAGGCAGCCAGCCAAGTAACACAGTCCTACAGTAACACTTAATGAACTATGAAGCTCCGCAGGGCAAACCCTAAACCTCGCACCCTCGCACATCCTCATTGGGGGAGGAAAAAAAAAAAAAAAAAAACACTCCCCGTTGAGCAGCCCAAAACACAAAACTGCAAGGACACCGCAAAGGAAGGCAAGCAGCTGAAAGTGCAAAAAAATTAAGAAAAACTGACACCACTTTTATTTAAGATTAAATCCACAAAGATAGAAAATGTTCTCGTTCGCAAAACATTTCACGAGGCAGAGTTTATTTTCAGACAGATTTATCAGCATTATTCTAACATTTTCACCCAATTTGTCGTTTTTTTGTTTGTTTTTTATCCCGAGCCGTGTTATCGCTTTGAAATATGAGCAAAAGTTTGTGAGGACACTTGAGGAAGCCAAGGGGACTTTGAAATGTAGGCTGGCAGGTTTTTTCTCCACCCTCTACAAACCGCCAAACCGCCCAACCATTCAGCCAATAAGCCCATCCACTGCCAGGCAACAAAGCACTCACCCCTCTAATCAGCTGCACAAAGCATTACCAGCAGCCCCAAATAAATCTGGAGACTCACATGTCTTGCAGCAGCCGTCTACATAGCTCTGAACTACACCCCCGCTCTGCAAGAAGAGAGGAGAATTAAAAAAAAAACAAAAAAAACCCCTTAGAGTTATAATAAAATCTTATTCAAAGGAAAATACAGCTACAGACACTTTTATTTGTACCTCTGGTAAAGATGTGTAAAAGATCTTAAATATACTAATACTAATCTTTTATTTTTATTTTACATAGAATAATGTAATTCTGAAACCTTGTTCGTACAGCTCACTTTTGCCAACAGTACGTGTCTCAGTTTTCACCTGTAACATTGTCTGAGGTTGGGGGAATAAAGAAGAGGGATCTTTGGTTATCTCTGCCTCCATAATCTCTGTAGATCGTTCTGATTATCGCTCGCTTTTCGTGCACATGCGTCTCGCCCACTAGGGCTTCACTGGATTTAGAACTCGGATACTAGTATGGCCACACAAGAAGGGCTTTGTGATTTTGACACAGATGAACCAATTCTGAGCTGACCACATATTTGATCGTCAAAGCAGCGGTTGAAATTTACTGCTAGAGACCAGGAAGTTTTTCATTTAAAATGTCCTGGTATTTCAAAGTGTTTAGTGGAAAAACAGGCCCACTGCAACACACACCCTCAACAGTTTAAGGAGACGAGCTACTTTGTTGTAACTATTAGGATTCAGCATAACAGTTATTAAAAACTCAGATTTCATACAGACGCATGATACATTTTTCAGTTTTAGATGATTTGATCCTGACAAACACATTCGTGGAAACAGTAAACTAGAGGAAAAAAAAACTGTTTCTCTGATTAAAATATAGACATTAATACCCTGTAATGACGACATCAAATCCTGGAATAAGATATTCATTGGGATAAGAAGAATATTATCCAACCAACTCACTCCTGTGGGAACTCTTTATGAATGAAAACAGATCACCCTTCCACATATGTATATATATATATATATATATATATATATATATATATATATATATATATATATATATATATATATATATATATATATATAGTTTGAATCACAAGTGATTACTTATCTCTCTCTTATCTCTCTAATTTTGAAGTGTCTAAAGGCAATTCTGTCAAATCTTAATTATACCACAGGGAGGTAGGAAGTCATGGATTACTAATCAGAAGGACGATTAGGGAGTACCAATAATTAGAGCATCTGTGATTTTGCTAAATGTAATAATTTCCCAACTTATTTATTTTTTTTCTGAATGAGATTGTGCCACTACAATAAAACACAAGTTTGTTTAAAGATTTGCAACATTTTTACCACGGGTGAAAATAAAGTAGACTGTCCCTGAATCTCATACTAAACAATGACACGCCAATTTTAAAGAAACATCCAACAACATGTATGAGTAGATTTAGAGGCTCTGACCTGAATACATTCTGAATCATTAAAAGGAGGGCAGATAACACCAGATGCAAGTATCACCGCTCCGACCGCTGTCTCCACGCAATCATAACGCGTGCAGTTTTCCACCCAGGAACTCCCTGCCTGCACACAAACACAATAGCAAAGTTTAAAAGACCCTGCAACGAAAGAGTGGTTAGCACATGCAGCGTGGCTTGCTCTTACAGTGAAAAATTCTGCTGTCCCATTTTCGTTGGTGAAAGTACAAGAGATGTTTTTACAGGAGCCACAGCACACTTGAGGGTCTGTAGAAGGGACGTATGCCTGGTGCTAAGACCAGGAAGTGAATCAAAAAATAAACAGGAGTTTTAGCCCAGCTGAGATGAAAATCACAGAATTGCTGTTAGCATTGATATGATCCGTCATATTTCGTGCAGCACCACACATACCGATCCACACTTTTGGGAGCAGTTAACAGAGGTGATTTCCATTGCATAGAAGCCAGTCTGTGGGTCTTTGTAAGGAAGACACTGGACAGTGTAGCACAGCTCTCCTTCAAAATACTGGACCAGGGACTGGCCTGGACCCAGAACTGTCACTCCTTGGAAAAGGCACACCTCAGCCTTCTCTGTAAATGAACACAAATAAACATGCAATATATGATCATAATGAACACGATAAAAGTCTGCTTTTTTTTGGTAACTTGAATCTTTTGACCCTTTGAGCGAAGGTTACGCTTACGACATGCATGCTGAGGACAGCCACAGTTGGTGCTGCTGTCAGGAACTTCAACCTGCACCTCCCCCTGAGTAAAGAACAAAGTGCTTACTTAACTGAATTTGCTTGCTTTCTGGCGAAGAGCGACTTCTGATACAGCGCTTTGCTTACTTACCAGCTGACACATGGGGAGAGCTCGGTCTTCACATTGACATTCTGTGCATAAGGGAAACAAAGTTAAAGAGAGCAGTCGTGTGAAACTTTATAAATACGTGACGGGCATAGCAACTCTTCAGACAACTGCGCGCATCAGCCGAGTAGCAAATAAAGTGCATGTGTTGCCGTCCATTTACCACAGTGATGCTGGGGACAGCAGTCACCGGGTGCAGCAGTTTCAACCAAAGAGAGACCAGGTGCACAGCTCAGAGATGATTTAGGGCATTGATTAACATCACACACTGCGGAAAAACGGGAGTAAACGTATTAAAAACACAGACACAAATGCACACGGATACACAAGCCAAAGCGCTTACCGCAGTGGTACTGGGGACAGCAGCTGTTGGTGGTATTTGGATCGACAGCCAGAATTTCTCCGTGAGAGCAACTGGGAATGGGTTCAATGCACGTCTCGCACACTAAAATGGACAATTACACAACTAATTTATAGAAGGATAATGACATAAGTCAAATCTGACAAGCAATTATAACTTACCACAAAGGTAAGAGTAGCAGCAGGATTTTTGACCCCTGACCTCGACAAGGAACTGATCTTCTCTACAGTCGGGAGCAAAGACAGGAGGGCACGCCATAGGGTCACACTCTGAGGAAGATGAGGTACAGATGGAGAAGGTTGAATAAATACGTGTTTCATTTGATGAATTATTTGCCAGTCTTGCTGCCGATAACTTTTAAATGTCTTTGTGTTTTTTTCCTGCCCACAGACAGCATGTCTGCCCAGCTGATCCTGTGTTTCGCTGTCACTTTTCTGGAGGAGGCCGTAGCCAAAGCTGTTCCAGGCATTAACTTGATTGTTTTAGTTTGTTTTTCTCCTTGATCCAGTGATTCAGCGTTTAATGGTGTCTATTTTCTCTTTTTTACCTATAGAAAGTAGACCTGCTTTTGACCTTCAATGTTTACCAGTTTCTTTTTAAAGGACAAAGCCAATGAAGTAGCTTTTGCTTCCTTCAGATCTGTGTATTGTTTTTCTACAAAAAGTGAATCTGGCTCATTGCTTCATGGTTTGGCTTTGTCTTGTTCTATGCAGAGTCATGAAAAGAGCGACTGCTGCTAATAATTATGTATTCTTTGATTTTCTTTCCCATGGAAAGAACACCTGGTTCAGTGTTTCTTTCTGAACAAAGGAGTCATGGTTTCAACTAACTGAGTGCCCTTTGTTTTTTTATTTCCAATAGAGAGTATCCCTTGCTTGGTGCTTAAGTTCTATTTTTTCTGGATAAAAGCAATTAGCCCAGATTTAGCTGCAATTAATCATTTGAGTACTGTTCAGTTTTCTCACTTGTGGCTTAGTGTTTTCCTGTTTATTTGTGTTACTTTCAGTTGTTGCTCTCTAAAAAAATACTAATGGAACAGTGTTTCTGTACTTTAGTGTTTGCTTCCAGTTCTTTTAACCCCTTGTAAAAGAAAACTACCCACAGAATCTAGTTCTGCTTCTGGCTCTTGCTGTTAAAAGGAAGTGATTTTGTTACTGTAAGTAATTTGATATGAATCAGACCAAACCAATTGCATTTGACTTGAACTGAACTCTGCAGTGGTGGATATGAATTACATCTGACATTTGTTGTGAAAATCTAAAAAATAAATAAACCGAGACAATTTAATTTCGATTGAAGCAAAACTATTCAAAAGAAGGCAGAATTAAAGTTTGCACATTACCACATCGGTATTCCGGGCAGCAGGAGAGTGCGCTGTAACCAATGACCAGTCTGTTTCCATTATCGCAAGGTGGAGCTTCACTGTCACAGATGGTCATGTTGCACTCTGACAGGCAAAGAAAACAATAATATAAGAGTTCACTTAAAAATGATCTCTGATAACCAAAGGTACTTCTCTTGACTTTGATACTGAACTCACCACAGATCTTCTTAGGGCAACAGGACCCTTCCTCCAGTACATCCAGCACATATTCTCCCTCCCTCTCACACAGCGGCGTCGGGACAGCACTGCAGTCTGGCTCGACCGCCACCACAGAGCCGTTCTCCATACATTTGTACAGGCAACAGCTTCGAGTGGAGCCGTTCCACACCTCTCCTGGGGCCCGGGGGTTGCCTTCGTTGTCTGTGCAGACTGAACGAACCACAATTCATTAAAGAGAACACGTCGACTCTGTGGGAATGTATGTGTTTGTAAAGCCTGAAAGTAAAGCAGAATCCTGGACAGAGCCATTTTCATCACAAAGGAATGCTTTTACAAGCCTCTTCACGCACCACATCGATCTTCGGTGACACAATAGGGAGAGTCGGCTCGGTGCAGGATGGTTCCACTGCGACACACGCACTCCTCCCTGATGAAAGAGCAGGTGGTTTCCTCGTAGTAGTCTTTGTTCAGACAAGTGCGGCTGTTGCAGGTGCTTACACAGGGCTGATACTCTTTACCAGGCGGACACCTTAATGCTGCAAGACGACAGGATTGCGAGCAATCAGAGAAACACAAGTGAGCACACATTTACACACATACAGTGCCTTAGAAAAGTATTCATACCAATTGGGTTTTTCCACATCCCACAGGTCACAGTCAATAGTAGGTTAAGCAACATTTTGCTGCAATAACAACTTAAAGTCTTTTTGGGTATGCGTCTACCAGATTTGCACATCTAGAGTGAAACATCTGCCGATTCTGCACTGCAAAATACTCGAAGCTTAATCTGATTAAACAGACGTTTGCGTTGGTTTTGTCATAAGACCCCAGTTAAACACATTGATGCTTGTGGTGGTTGTGAACAGAGACATTTTCAGTTAAACAGTAAATATAAAGTTAAAGAGGTAGGAACACTTTTGAAAATTACTGTAGGAGACTTATTTGCCTGTGTGTTCTTACGACAGAAGTTGTGCCGCCTCCAGCTGATGCAGACTTGGTGCGTGTAACAAACTGCCACATAAGCAGCCAGAAAGTCACACTGATGATCCTTGTAATGCAAGTCTCCTGCCCACATGATGTCACAGAACTGCTCTGGAGGCACCTGAAAATTTGTATTGGATTTTGATATGTCAAAATTATAATTTATTAATTTTATTCTCAAAAAATTAAAAAAATGATTACGTAAAATGTTTGGCAAACTATTTGGACTCAATTGTCACCTGCTTAATTTATAAACCGACTTGTATACGTTTTGATTCCTCAAATGATGACAAAGTAAGTCAGCACCTGCTTCAAAATCAGGTGTGTGAAACACAGTGTGGAGCCTTGATAGTACCTTGCTATGACATGGTGTGAAGGCTCTCTGGGTGAGCATAGACAGACAGGTGGAACAGTCCCCTGTGGTGCAGTTGTCTCCCACCCTGCGTGTGTGTTCGGTCTCATCTGTCAAATGGACTCTCCACGCCTGCAGAAAGAGCATCATGTCTCCCACCTCTCTGACCACCGTGCCGTTCGGGAGTTTCAGGTCATCTTCTGGATTCCCATCACAGCAACCTGGCAGATTGGGGAGACAGCTGTTTTGGTGCTGTTGGTGCAATTCAAGTTCCATTGCTGCTTAGACAGTGAGCAATAGAAAGCTAAAGGTGAGATAATTGCCTGTCTGGAACTGTGTAACGTGTCTAAATGGCTTTTAGAATCTCAAACTGTCACATCCAATAATGGCTCTAGTCAATGTGATCCAGCGGTGCAGACGTTAAGCCTTTAGGCGCTGAAAAAACAGCACTTAGATAAATGAGGCTGGTGCTGATGAGCGTGGTGTGTGTGCATGGACTCACCACACAGGCCACGAGTGGGGACGAACGCATGACTAGGCGCGTTGTACTGCAGCACCATAATCCCTGTGCTGTGATACCACTGTATGCTGATGCTGCCAGGTGTGTGGATCAGGTACATGCTGCCTGTATCTTCCACATAGAGGGAGTGACGTGAGAATGGGAGCTTAGCAGGTCTGTAGTTCACAGTCACCTTCAACCACATGAAAAAAAAAAATCACTCAATTCTGAAGGAAAATTACGTGTTTGCTCGTGCGTTAGATAAAGTAAAGAGGGGAACCTTGCGATCGAGTCTGTTGACAATGATTCTGTAGTTGGAAGTAGTGATGTTGAGCTTCTTGAAACAAAGACCAGATGTTCCACCAGTAGGACTCTGGGGAGGATAGAAATTACAGATGGCAATAACACTAACAGTGCTTTGCAAAGTTTTCCACACATATATTGAATCTTTTCTCAAATTTCATGTTATATTCAGAAAGTTAAATGATTTTTTTTTTTCCAGATTTAAATTATATCAACAGAAATGGTATTGGAAATGGAAGAAAATGATAAAATGGTTATCAAATAAGTTGATGAAAAAACAACAACAACAAAAGATATCTAAAATATGTGGCTTGCATTTGTACTCAGTCTCCCTCCTGGGAATATGGGGGAGGCTGAAGGTAGAATTACCTTCTGCTCTAATTACAGCTTTACTTTTGTTGAGGTATGAATTTTTTAAAGTCTTGTCACAGATTCTCAGTTGGCTTAAAGCCTGGACTTTGACTGGGACATTCTAACACATAAATATGTGATTTGACAGAAATCACAGCCTTGAAGCTTTGCTAAATGTTAGAATCGTTTTCTTGTTGAAAGGTGAACGTTCACTCCAGTAGCTAATATTTAGAAGCCTCTAACACATTTTCTTTTAGGATAGCCCAGTTTTTAACTAAATCCATTTTCAATCAGTTCTAACCAACTACCCTACAGCATGATGCTGGCACCACTATATCTAATTTTGGGGATGGAGTTCAGGATGATGTGCAGTTATTGTCTGCTGACACACATTGTTTTGTATGTAGCTCCTAACAACGCTTTCAAGCCTTCCCAGAGCAGTTACATTTAAACTGAAACAACCTCTATTTAACAAACAGGTGACTACTGAAGATTGTTCTATATAGAAGTATTGGAGTAAAAACAGTTTCATACAAATGCACCCAATGATTTCTCAAAATCCTTTGAAATCCTTTTTGTTTCAAATGAAAAACCGGCCATACTTTGTATTGGTGTATCATAAACAATCAAATCAAAGTACACTTTAGTTTGTAGTTGTAATGTGACACACTGTGAAAAGGGTATGAAAACTATTGCATGGCACTTGGGACCATTTCGGCAGAGAGAAATTAGCTGCTTTTGCCCAGATACAACAGATGCAATTGCTGGCAGATGACGTCGTCCACTCACAGTTCGTCTGATGGAGTTTACGCTCTAAAAGCAAAACAAAGGATAAACCTGAGACAAATTCTTCAGATTTTATTTCTTTCTCTTTGTCAGATGTTTTGATGCTTCACCTGGCTGGTTGGACATTTCTCCACTGTGCCAATAATCGTCTCTCTCGGCAGGTTAACCAAAATGTAAGAACCGTTGTCATACAAGGCCACATTGTTACCATCAAATGTGATCACGCGTAGATCTGACATCACAGTGCAGCGACCTGAAAGAAGCAAACAGCAGAGCTTTCAGGAAGAAGGCGATTCAACCTAATTATTCTTCTAAGGTTTACAACAAATCTTACATGGGCACTGCCACAGTGGGCAGCAGGGGTCTGTGTTGATGAGGATAGGCAGGCCCAGCAGACTGCACTGAGGGGGGGCAGTATTGTAGCGACAGTGGAGAGAGGAGTTGTGAAAGAGCAGCTCTCCGTTGAAACAAATTAGCTCGGCACACTCATCGATACGATAGGAGAATGGAGGCTGTGGACACAGTTGACATATTTGGAGTGATTTTTTTTTTTTTTTTTTTTACATTAAATGGTTTATTTTTTAAGCGGCTATCTTAGTGTCAACATGACATCACACAAGACATTCCTATGTATGCAAGTTCACACTCCATAGTAGCTCATTGTCTTTCTAAAATAAACGATTAAATGATTAAATCATGCCAACAGTCTCAGTCTTTGGCTTTCCTCCAAATATTCTTCCTGGGGATTCATAAATTGTTATCTTTTCACGATGCTAAACCATAAATTGCATGGTTTCTTACTTCCAGATAAGATGCTACTTAAAAAGAATCATACATGTAGCTTGTATAATATGCCAGATGTTTATTTAGTGTTCAAGAGAACACGAGAGAGCAAGACACTGAGGAGATAACAGTAAGGAGTTTAGTCCATTCAGCCTTACTTAGTTATAGAAGACTTCTATAACATCCATCGGTCCTGAAACAACCTCGATTTGAAAATGTTGCCAACAAGATTGACTATTTGTCTTTGGGCATAAATTTACCTGGAGAAGTAACACTTACTGTGCATGGACCAGTGGGCCAAGGGATCCTGGTAGACACTTCTTCAGTTTCAGGGCTTGTGATCATCTCTGTGCTGGTAACAGTGGTGGGCTCAGTTGAAGGAAGGGCTGTGGTCGTTTCCACTGAGGTGGAAATCTCTGTGGTGATTGTTGTTTCTGGTTGTGACGTAGTTGTGGGCGTGGTTTCAGGTACAGTCGTGGTGGGGACAGTTGTGATGACGGTGGTCGTTGGTGGCAGGGTGGTTGGGGACGTCGCAAGCGGTGTAGTTGGTGTGGTAACCTCGGGAGTAGTTTTCGGGACTGTCGTGGGTGAAGTGGAGGGAGTAGTTGAGGTGATCTCTGTGGTTGGAGTGGGGCTCATCACGGTTGTACTGGGGGTGGAAGTCTCAAATGGAGTCGTGGTAACGATGGTTGTAGTAGAAGCAGGAGTCGTGGTTGGAGATGTTGTAAGCAGAGTAGTGACTGGTTTAGTGGTTACCGTTGTGGTGGGAACAGTCGGTGCGGTGGTGGTGGTGGGTGCAGATGTGGTGGGACTAACAGTGGTGGAGGAGATTGTTGTTGCTTTCGCGGTTGTAGTTGGAGTTGGTGGTGGCGTAGTGGTTCTGTTGGACCGAGTCACATATGCAAAAGGCGTTGGAGTTGAGGGGAGCATAACACCTACAGGAGACAAGTTAGTACACATGAATGCACCATAAATCATAACCTTTTACACGATTTAAAGACAAAATCATGCTTGCACTCACAGTCCTCTGAGTAGACACAGCGTCTTGTGACTTCATCCAGCACCATGTTTTTTGGGCAGCGAGGGAAACAGCCTTCCACCCTATAACACACACAAACAGTTGCGTTGCCAGACCTGATCATAGATTACGTTGGTAGTACAGCAAGGGCCCGTGTTGAGCCAAGCTTCTTACGGAGGCAGGAACTGGCAGCGGGTCGCATCTGGATCACTGCATGTGTGCACGCAGGGACTTGCACAAGCCTGATAACGCCATTCGCACATCATGCGGTATGGTATAACAAAAGGACTGTCTGCAGTAGCAAATGATAAACATATTAGTTAGCTTTTTCTGTGTAGTTTGAATAGGTGCACAGACAGTGAGCCCGATAACAATTTGGATATGTAAGCATGAGTGAAATCCACACAATTCAGCAGTAAAATTTGCACAGCATGCAGAAGACAGCAGACATTCAGAAGATGCATCATTTTAGTTTAAAAATAAGTTAATAGAAATGAGTTTTCAAAAAACTGATGAATGTAAAAGACGAAAAGGAGAAAATGGTACAATAATATATCGCATTGTTAGTGCTCAAAATACATGTGTGTTTTTTCTAAACAGAAGTATCATTTAAAAATGGGTTTATTATGGACAGAGGGGTAAGGGCAATACTTTCTGGGAACATTTTAATCACTCAGTGGATGTGTTTTTTTTTCTCTGCTTCTTTATAGTGTTCATGTCATGCTGTTTTATTGCATATCAAAAGACTCCACAGAGCAGTGCTAAAATGCCATGAGCAGCTCTGTATTTAGGCTTTTGTGTCTTTCAAAAAAAGAAAATGACTAGTCAGGAAATAGACCTATCAGCAACAGTACTCTGCAACAGCTGTGATCGTTTTCTTTTACTCTTGGCCTGCTATGCTTTCAATTAATTCTACATATTGCCATTTATATGTCACTCGCATAGTACAAGTTTATTAGTCTTTATATTTTTGCCTGGAAATGTGTAAGCCAAGATATGGCAACACAGGTTAGATGCTATTGTAAGTCAAGGTAAGAAGATGTAGAAAAATAATGTTGTTCTACACTTTTTCTCTTTGATTAAAAAAGGTAATATATTAAGATAAAAAAAAAGATGAAAAAGAATACAATAGCCATTATGAAATATAAACTATATTACACTTAAGCTCTGGCTAAGGTGATTTTTTCATTGAAAAAAAAAACATCCAATGTTAACCAATTTAAAATCTGACTAAATGTTAAAAACATGCAAGTCTGTTTCTCTGTCACTAAAAGATGGAGATGGAAATAATTTGCAGACCTCTATGAGGATAAAGCTTGTAAACCTGAACAGTTCATGTCTTCTATTAGATTTTTGTGTTGGAGTAGCACAAACGTGTGAAGAACAAGAAAAACAATGCACTTTTTTAAGTCAGGGGATAAAAATCTGAAAATGGATGAATGGATGTGCCTTTTTGTTCAACATCCCTTTTCTCCTTTACTTTGACAACCCTGAATAAAATCAAGTTCAACAAACCAAACTTTTAACATCTTGCTGAGCAATTTTCTATTCATCATCAGGAAATAAAAAAGATCATGGCGCAACTGCAAACCGACAACTATGTGGTTGTCCACCAAAACTGAAAGGGCAGAACAAGACAGCAATAATTAGAGACGCTGTCGAGAGTCCCATGGTGGTTCTGTAGGAGCTGCAGAGATGCACAGGTTGGGTAGATTTGTTAACAGGACAACTTTTTGTTGTGATTAAACTAATCTGACTTTGGAAGAAGAAAGGTGACAAGAAAGCCATTGTAACATCAAAGTTTATGTGTTGGTGTAGCCTTGCTAAATATAACTTAGAATTTGTTGCAAGATTTGGAAGTTTATTGAAGCTCTATATTCAATCTGACTAAGTTTGAGCTATTTTCAAAGCAGAAATAACCAAAAAGATGTTAAAATATAACTGCAGTATGACATGCTACACTATGCTGTACAAAGTATTGACTCCAGGTGCTGAACACAAAAGCATTCCTCAGTTCTTGGATTTTTATTTGAAAAACAAAAAACAAAACAAAAAACAACAAAAAAAAAGCATTTCAAAAACTAAGTCTATCTTTCTAACATTTTACAATGCCCTATTTTGTGTCTCATGTTATATTCCAAAATAATTAACTTCATGTGACTGCAACAGCATGTTCTGACCCTCGAGTGTGAAGCTGCTGCTGGTCTTGAAGCCCTCTGCAGTGCTGTATCTCTGCGCTCGAGCCGCTCCGCGTGTGAGCGTCAGAAAGACTCCAGGTTGGCTGACCACTTCGAACGAAGCGTAACCTGGTAGAAACAGACCCTGGTGCTGGATGAAGGTGGCTCTGCGGCTAAACTCTGGCCCTCGACTCCACTGCTCCAACTGGAGACGGCTGCGTCCTGACACTGTGAAGAAGTAGTTTGGCCTCTCTGCAGATTCAAGGGAAACTACAGGAACACCTGAAAAAAGCAAGACATTTCTAATTAATTTACAACATGAATAACTGTTAGTTTATGCAGTGATGGATGCTTACGTGATGTCCTGTTCCTCCAAAGCCCTGTAGTGATCATGAAGTTGAACAGAATGCCGGGAGCTGGCAACTGTCCCGGTCTTTCTCTCGTAAGTGGAAACACTGCGCTGCTGGTACGATTCACTCCAAACATGGTGTCATTAAAGACAGCACTCACCAAGGAAAATGGGCCATCGCCGAGCTCTTTGGGGAAATGAGGCAGAATAACAGGAAATGAGTTTGACAACAACCCCTCTGGGAATGCATATAAACCCATAAACAAAAGAAGAAAAGAAGATCCTCACTTGTACGCACCTTGATTATAGTATTCGCAGTCATAGGCTGAAAGAGACCATTCAGAAGTGTTTAAAATCTCAGAGGTAGTAACATCCAGAATTCACGATTTCTTCCTAAAACCGTTTGAACTTTTCACATTTTTTAAAAAACATTAAAGCATCAAACTCCAATGTGTTTTATTAAGATTTTATGTTATCAAGCAACACAAAGCGTGCCTTAAAGTGGAAGGAACATGATGCATGGGTTTCCAAAAAAGTAAAAGAAAAAAAAATCTGAAAACTTTTGATTTCTATTAAGCCCATTTTTTAGATAGTTGAAGCTCAGCCAGCTCAGACTGTGAGCATCTATATTCATGTCTTCACTAAAGACTCTCAATTGGATTTAGGTATAGACTTTAACTGGGACATTCTAGCCTATGGATGAACTTTGGCCTCAACCGGCTCATTGGAGTTCTGGTGTGTTTTTAGCTCCTTCCATCAACTCTGATCAGCTTTGCTGTCCCCGCTAAAGAAAAGCATTCCCATAGCACAATGCTGTAATCACCAAGTTTGTTCCAGGGGTATGGAGTTACTTCTCTACCACATACGTTTGATATGTTCACCACATGAGTAATGGAAAACTCAAAATTAGACTTCATATGAGATTCTTAGAAGAATGGCTTTCTTTCTTGCCAGTGCAACTACTGTAAATGTAGGAAAAGGTTGATCTAGAAGGTACTAAGCATACAATATGAACTGACAATTGAAAGTATTGTGGGTGAATATAGATGTATGGTCCAATTTTTAATGAAAAAAAAAAGCAACAATATTTAAAAATAATGGTTAGTTTGTCCTACCAATTCCTAAACATGATGTTGGTCTGTTACATAAAATCCAAATAATACACATTGAAGTTGAAGACTGTGAACATTTTGCAAGAAGTATGGCAATAAAACACTTGCTTCGGTCTGTCTATGCGAGCATACTCACGGCACACAGAGGGAGACCTCCAGTGTATCGTGACCCCCTGTTGGCAGCATTTGTGTGCATACGCAGCAATGGACGTACAGAGACACTCACAGTCTCCCCCGCGGTTACAGTTGCAAGTGTCTGTTAGGCAGTTCCTATAAAACCAGGCCACATCAACCTGAAGGGCACGCACAACATGCATACACGGTCACAAACACAGAAACACACACACATAATCATAGACTGAACCAGGCCAATGCTCGCTGGGAGAGGCTGGGGGAGGTCTTGTTTATGGGATGAGTAGTTTTTTAATAATTCAGAGGAAAAGGATTGATGTGATATCAGGACAAAGAGAATGTGGGTCGGATTCTAGTGCAATATATCAGATGGGTGCTAAGATGAACAGCCGAAATACCCCGGGCAAGATTAACTGGACCTCCATTCTTTGACAGCAAGTATTATGATTCACTTAAGCAGCACATTTCATCCCCATAGTACTTTAATCTGGTAGTTTCTAAACTTGTCAGTGTTACGAAAACAAGAAGAAGAGACTTGGAAGACAACTATCATTTACCCAAGCTTAAACATATATATTATAAACAATCCAAAAAAAAATAACATCGTAATAAAACAAGCTATGATCATTGTTTTTATCTGTTGTAAAGCAGCAATCAAGATATTTTTTTTGTTTGTTGACTTTTTTTTTTTTAATAGACGTGGTTGTGCATGTCGTTTCATGAACCATTGCGAGTTTCAAAACCCTATTTTTGTTTGAAAACACTGGTTAACATTACATCACAACTCATTAATATTATGAAGACTGTAGACATGACTTAGATAACAGACACAGCAGTATTAGAATAAAAATGTATATTTTGCCAGTGCTGCATGTCAACAGAAATAATGTTTCTTAATCACAGGGGACCTAAAAAAAAAAAAAAAAAAGTAAAGTTTGATTCAATGTCAAACACAAGAAAAACAGGTGCTGCGAGTATTTCTAAACAGTACAGGTAAATCTAGTTTAATCGATTTTAGTTTAGATTCCTGTGGATGGTATACACCCTGGTTAATAATAAAAAAATATGCTCAACTAGGATTGCCATGACCACACAGATTTGAAATAGATAAGAAAATCCAGCACTAAGAGGAGCTTCTGTGTTCACATGTTCAGGATTTTCTTTCATCTTTCAAGAAGCAAACCTCTATAAACATTATTTGTTTGCATTTAATTGGTTGATTATCCAAGCAAGGTATGTGCCACACTCACATTTATGGCCCACAGACTGTTTCTGTTTATGCAAACATGGCTCCATCTACTGGTAATAAACAGATAAACAGTACTTCAATCTAAAAAAGAAAAAACTCTGTGTGTGTGACGGAGAGAGAGAGATTGTGGAGCCCAGCAGCTGGTGTGCGGTTTATCTCTTAAATAACAAAAAGTGTATTTGCCGGGGATCAGTTAAGAGTCGTTCCCATAACCCCTCTGCAACCCCTTCTCCCCTGTTACAAGCCGGATAACCTTTCCGCTGCAGCATTTACTCTGCATGAATGTGAGTTGGTGACTGTGTCCGTTTTAGTGGCACTTACCACGTTGTGACAGGGTGCAAAGACATCGCTGTAGAGGAGCGCACACTCCCTCTTAGCGTACGGCTGTCTCCCCAAGTCCCGTTCACACGGTCGCTCAACTATGTAGTCACTTTCACACTAAAACACACACACACACGTACACGCACACACACACAGAGGGAGATCAAGTGTCTGATTACTCTTAAATATCACAGTGGACTCGAGGGAGACCAGCTCACGAGTAACTGGGAGCGAGGGAGGAGTGAGCGAGTCAGGTCAGGGAGACGTTTATAGACAAAGACAGAGAGAAGAAAGGAGATGAAGCTGAGTCATACCTGTCCCAGGGCCCAGCTGTTTCCAAATGTCTGCGCGTTATTGACTTCCATGTGGCTAGAAGTGGTCATATCATTCACTGTCACACTGTCAAAATTTCCACACAGGCCACTGAGGAGACCCTGGAGGAAAAAAAAAACAGAGAAAGAAGTAAGGTTTAAAAGTTTTTATACTCCTTTAACTTTTTCACTTTAAAACAACAAACTTCAGTGTATTTTCTTGGGATTTATTTGAGCGAGTCAGGGGCCTGACACAAAGTGGAACATAATTGTGAAATGGAAAATGACAGACGGTTTTCTGATTTTTTTTTCTTACAAATCTAAAGATCTATTCTTACTCAACACTGTTTGATTTGGACCACATTCTTATAAACCTGAAAAGATCATGTTCTTTGTTCACACCTTCCAATGGGGTCCAGCTCTTATATGTACAGTAGTCTTGCGGTCCCAGAGGATGGTCAGATCCTGACTGGAGAAGTGGACCACGGTGTAGTAACCTGCATTCCAGATCTCAAACTCTGACTCTCGACCCACAACAGTAGAAGGACTCTGAAAGGGGAGTAAAATATGGGATAGAATTTAAAATAAAATAAAAAATAAACAGGGCTCTTTGAAAAAAATTTAGTTACTCTGTGTGTAAAGAATGTACTGGATTGCCAGAGTTGTCAGTGAAGTAGATCTTGGTCAGTCCCACATGAATGACCAGTATTTTCATGCACACAATGCCGCTCTCATAGCAGTCCTTGTTTTGGGCAACAATGGATACTTCGGTTTCTCCAGCACTCTAGTGAGAGATGAAGGGGGGGAAAAAAAAAGATGTTATTCCTGCGATTATTCTCATTCCTGTCTGACTGTATGCAGAGAGCAGCTGCAAACATTTTTATTTGTGTCAAGAATTGTGGAAAAGCCAAAAGCATCTGTCCAATTTGAATAACGTGGGGCCGACAACACAAGGAAACAGTATTGAGACGCAACTCTGACCTGTTTCCCAATTCTTTTTTTAGGCCTGAGCACTGGCCAGCAGTCGGTTGGGTCTGAACCAGAATGTCTGTTCTGCTAATTCTAATTCTATATCCCTGGGAGCGCAGGAGCCCTGGGGTTTGATGTGAACACTGGTTTCTTTGTATCACTTTCAGCTTTGCTCAACGTCTGCTTGCGTTACTGCGGCCCACGCCCAGCTGCGCTCTCACTCACCCACAAATACACACAAACACACTTTTAATCTGCTCTAATTAAAACCAACTCTTTCTTTTGAGATTAGAAATGACCTTAGATCTTGTTTCCCCAGATTCAAATCAGCCTGGGGCCAGGAAACACTAAAACGACGTTCCTCCGCACATGCTAACTCACTGCTAGAATCCCGTGTCGTGCGTGACGCAAGCAGAAGAAACTCACTTTAAGCAGGTAGACCTGGCAGTCGGTTTGGTAGTCATATTCAAGGCCATCAAAGGTGTGATAGTGTCTGTCGCTGTACACAGTACACACAGCTGGACATGGAGAGTAGCTGCAGTTAAAATAGCCCCGATGGCACACACTTGGAGGACAGGTGCGCCAGAGAAGAGAAAAAGATGGAGCAGATGTGTGAGTTAAATGAGTTTGTTTTTCTTATAGATTTTAAGTTTGGTCCATTACTCTAGATTTCAGGGCTTAGCGATTAATGTATACTATATTAAAAGAGAGAAAACAACAAGTACAGGAGACATATTTACCATCTGTAGCAAGATGTTTCCACAACTTGTCCAGGCAGGTATTCAAGTCCAAGCCACGCGCAGGGGCAGTTCTCTGGATAGTAGCATTCCCCCTGGTGCAGCACGAGCCTTCCGACAGACAAAACACCAGTGGAATGCAAACACCTTGCAAGCAAATATATTAAATCCTAATGCTGCACTTTAGCTCATTAATTAAAATTGATTACAGATTCAGATAAGCTTCCAGGCAGCCACTGCTTTAATTAATGCTAGCTGGTAAGCCTTTTAAATCCAGGAAATCTAATAGAGGTCAAAATCTCTTCGGCTGAGTGACGAACAAATTAAATTTACACAAGATCATAATAACTAGCTGAGTGGTCATTAGGACAAATGACTGTTATGATAGTAAATAGACATTGTTCATTGATAGAAATGTGTTACACATATTGTGCATCACAAATGTTTTCAAACCCCCTTCATCACATTTTGTTATCAAAGCAACCGAATCCAGTTTAAATTAGCCCCATTTTCTTTCAATAGCTCTAAATAAAATGTAGCACAACAAGAAGTCACCTAATACGCAAATAGTTTCTGTTAGTGAATAATATCTAGATAAATTTAGCTAGTGCAAAAATACTGGAAGAAGGTAAGCCTTTCTGTTACCCTGGAGGACAAACACAGCCTGGTATGCACAGTGTGTTGGGAGGGCAGGTGAGGTTCAACATCAGGTTACGGCAGGTCGGTGCACAAGCCACGCCTCCTCTCTGCTCTCTGCAGCTGTGGTACACTTTTCCTTCTGGACACTCTCCCTCTTCTACGCTGTCTGGTTCTACAACATTCAGACGCACACATACTCGGCAAAATCAATGCAACAGAAGCTGCCAGTCATGAGAAACAAGCTTCAACTTCAGAAACGAAGCTCTTGATTACAGCCAGCGAGGCGTAGCCTAAAACAGGACTTTGTTGCTGGAATGAACAAGAGAAGGAAATGGGACAGAGAGGGTACCTTTTTCTTCTGGCTCACACTCCATCTTCCCACTTCTGCACAGGCTAGTGAAGGAGACATGGGAGAGAAAGAATCAGGTGTTAGTGAAAGGGAGTAATGTTATCGAACACAATCTTAGTTTAAGAGCTTTACGTCTCATTTGATAATCGCTGAAGCTTTTATTCCTTCTCAAAGAAATCAAATGGTGTATTCAGGTATGACAATGACAATGTGTAGGTAGGAGAGAAGGAGAAGAATGTTCTAAATGTTCAGACCGAGTTGGAGCAGCTGCGACATACCAAGGGCCAGATGCAGTGAAGGTCACTTCTCCTGGCTGCGACACACCACCCATGGAGTAGCAGTGACACTGTGACCTGATGAGAAACCCAATGCATTATTTTGATGCTTTCCATGTTGACTTACAGAAAAAACAACTGGTGCAAGCCAGTTCTCGGTTGCAATCAGAATCACTTGTTTTTAACGGATAATTTAGGAGATGCATCGGTCTTACAACTGCACACAGCGCCTGCGCACATCGTCATAGTAACTGCCATCTAGACAGGCGCAACCTTCGGCGCAGTCAGCTGGGCTGCAGGTCTCGGTGTTGGCAAGACCACGACAGGACCGGCCACAGGAAGACACGCATGAGTGGTACTGCATTCCTCCCAGACATACAACTCCTAAAGCAGCAGCAACAACGAACAAAGCTCAACATAAAATATCACAATTTTTTTTTTCTAATTAAACACATAAAATAGCGATTATTTCTATTAATGTTGATGATTATGGCTTTCAACCGTATAAAATCATAGGAAACAGTCGCCTACTTACCGCACTCAGAGACTTGCGACCTGAAATTAAGGTCGACTCCATGTTTGGAGCAGAGGTAAGCGTAGTGAGCCAGCGCAGTGCACAGGCAGCTGCTCCCACAGCGACAGGCCTGGTAGCGGCACTGCTGCTGGTAGATGTTTGGACTAATGTAGCCATGACACGGAGCAAACACACTCTCCACAAGCACATCACACTGGGAAGCATAATATGCTGGGCCACATGCAAAAAGATCATCATGGACTGACCGACCAGAAACAGACAAAGCTTCAACAGCAAAATTTGTGAAAAGAATTACCGTTGTGCTGGTTCGTCTCACACGGGTCTACAATGGGCAGATTAACCGGAGCGACACAAGCAGACGACACTTTCCAAGCATTGGCGTGAAGCTGAGGAGTACCTTCTATCATCCCTGCTGGAGACCTGCAAAAAAATCCATGACTAAACTTCACAAAAAACATTTTTAATATTTATATTCATATGGATGGAACATCTTTACAGGAAATCGTCTCGTAGGTTTCCGTTAAAAGTTCCACAGAGTCCCAGTGTTTGTCCACGCCACTGGCTGCCGAGCTGCAAGTACACCCGCCCTCCTTGGCCATCATAAAGCAGGCGTAAACCAATCCCTGTTTTTAGCTGGGTAACCACAGAGGTCAGTCTGTGCACATTTACTGCATCTGTACATCCAGAGAAAATGATTTGATTTTACAAGTTATGTTCCATAACTAAAATATTACATACTTGAAATGTTTTTTGTTTTTTTTTTCTAGTTTCAACTGATGCTATTATTTATTTGCAGCTTCTACCGTCAACATAAGGCAGGGTGGGGGTTGGGTTGACACCGATTATCACCTCCCCTTCTCTGGTCAAGGTGATTTGATGACTTGCATCTTCATCCAGCACCACTGTCACTGACTGAATGCATACCTGATGCTGTCGTGAAACAGAGTGACAGAATACCAGTCACGTCATGAAAATACGCAGAAATACACACACACACACACACACACTATATTGCCAAAAGTATTCACTCACTCATCAAAGTCATTCAATTCACAAGTGCTAAACTTTGCCAACACATTTTGGACAAGTACATGTACACCTCGGTACACGAATTGGCAGTCTGTTGAGCTATAATTGGTTGTTGAGTCCTGACCTCAACCTGATAGGATGCAGATATACTGCACATTTCAGGAAGAATGGTCAAATATTGCCCTAAACACATTTATAATCCTGTTCCTTAAGAGTTGAAGCTTAGAAAAAGGTGGGCCCAAAAGGCTTTAGCAGTGAGAAAAATTGTCATTAAAAATTGTGGGACTTTTCCAGTCCCACTTCCTGCTGTAATGCCGTATTAGATGTGAATTTGCTTTTATCTAGACCGTTCCATTGTCATTTTGTCTCTGTGTTCACAGATAGCACAGAATGATTGAAACAACATTGAATCAATGTCAGCCAGAAACATTGAATCAACGTTGAACGCTGACA